TTTTCTTCTCTGCAAGACATGTGCCAAAAGCCTTAGCGTGCAAAGCTGTGACAGGGAGAACTTGGGTCATGTTTCTTTTGGGTATGCTGGGGGTTGGTGAGAGGGTGCTGTGAAGGGCAGTGTGGTATGCCTTGACCGACTAGGGCCTTTACCCAAGCTGGACTTTGCCAGATTTGGAGTTTGCCCTTGCCCACTAGCCTCAAGGAGATTTTTTGTCCTCTCACTGAGAGCGTTTGCTTTGCTTTCATCTATCTCTGCCCCGTGGATGGGACAAGTGGATGTAAAGGAATGGCATTCTCCTGTTATTCTCTTGCTCTGACTCCTCTCGGTCCATTTAGCACTTGTCCATCCCTGCTGGTGTTTGAACCCAACCAGCTTTGTCTGCGGCTGGCCAGGCACACCACGCATTTCCCACCGCCAAGTCCTGGCTTTGCTTGTGCTGGAGCAGAGCAGTGGAGTGCATCTAACACGCAGATTATGCCCCAGGGTCGAGCACATCCTGCCTCATTGAGACGTACGGTGTCTGTCTGGAAGATCTCAAGGGATTAAAGCCAGTCTAAATTGAAAGGAGGGTGAAAACGGAGAGGCTGCTATCAGTGGAGGGAAGGAAGCCTTTGTTTATGTACAGCCGGTCACTTGTAGGGCAGATGGAGAGACTGTGCGCCTCCCTACATTGTTGTGTCAAACCTCAAACTGTAAACCTGACCTCCCAACACCTCCTGAGAGCGGCCAAAATAATCCCTAAATCATTCTGGTTTGGGTCTCTCGGTAGCTTGCGGGATTTTGCAGCCTGAAAGGCGGCTGGCCTCTGGGGCATACCTTGGTGGGGTTGGGTGATGATTGTGTTCTGTGAGGGGAAAAAGACAGTTTAGATGTAGAGACTGATAAATCTAGGTGCTCAGAGCTTTCTCTGTGCTAATTTATCATTCCTACCAGTGAGACCTTAAGTATATGCTCTTAAAAAAATGGACTTCTGTTGACGGCTTGGGGGAGGGGGTGGTGGTTTTTTTCCAAATTTTGGCAACCTTAAGAGATTCCAAATGGGATCTGTTGGCCAAGACTTCAGCGTACATACGTGCCTGGTGTCAGGGCATGTTTACTTGATGTCATGTTCCAGCCAACAACCCCAGTCAACGGGGCCATGCTCTGCAGTACTAATGCAGGAAACCAATTCCTCAGTAACCCTAAACCTTTGAGTCCTACCCCATACACCAAATTAAACAAATGACTCCTGACATAATAATTTGATCTTTCCATTGTCATGTGGTCACTTGTTAATTTGTTTCATGGTGCGTCAGCTTCTAGATCTAAGACTGATGTTATTCCCTGGAGGTTAATGATTATCTTACATCTTATTCATTAGAAAGCAAAGGATGTCTAAGTACCAGTCACATGAGTTTTCTAAGGGCCTCTGTTTGCAGCAACTACAGGACAACTTTAACAACAAAAAAAGAGGCATTAAAGATGGCATAGCTCACATAGCAACATTTGGATGCCCTCCTTGGGGCATGGATTGTGAAATGATCCAGTTTATTCTTTTCCTCCATGCAATGTCAGCTACGCTAACAGTACATTTTGACATAGATTTATTGTAGGGCTGCAGGAACAGCTGATGTGCACCTAGCATAAAACGGTACCGTGCTGTATTAAGCCTTGCCAGTAACCCTTGCCTACTTTTTTAGGATTCACGGCTCCTCTGGTGGGTATAGCAGTGGCCTTGGAGAATAGTTGTCCATCCTCCTGCTGGAGTGTAGCACAGACTCACACAGTACAGTGCTTTCCTTGAAAATTCAAGGTGGTTAGACCTTAATATAGCATATTCCTGTGTACTATTTGCAGCTGACTGTTGGCAGAGCCCAGACCAGAGTGGCAGCCTACATGTCGAAACACTCAAGCTTTTCCCTTGCATCATCTGCCCTAGCTATGAGATGACAAAACCCGGCCAACTGTTGCTTGTCGCATAGCATAGCTATGCCACGGCCTTCATGGCAGATGACTGAGGTGAAGGTATTAACATAGCTGACATTGGCTGTGTGCTGGCACGCTGTGCTGCTGGGTGCTGCCCAGAGCTCTGGGAGCTCTGTGGATGCTGACAGCAGATGCTCTGGCTGTCTGGGTGTCCATCCCAGCCCTGGCAGCTCTCCTGCCCCAGCCCATTGAGAACTAGAAAAAGAAGAGAAATAAAATGCAGCACAAATAGTGATTTAAGGCTGCCTTCTGAAGCAGCCAGGGACTAGAGCTCCTGTAGGAAAGGTCTGTTTCCCAGATGCCAAGACAAAGGGTCAGAAATAAGGGATCTGATTTTCCCCGCCATAGCAGTGAGTTTACCCAAACACATCCCTACAGCAGCCTGGTTCCTTAGACTCACTGAAATATGTTCCTGTTAGCTCATCTCAAACCTCTGATGCCATTTAAAATCTCCATAATACATCTCACCTTTTGAGGCAGAGCAGACAGATTGTCACAGGTGACTCAGCACATTGTATGTCCCTTTTGTGTCCCTGCTTTTAAAATCTCTTTGTTATATGGTGACAGATTTCTCTGAAATTTGGGCCCTTGGCTTACACTCAGGTGAATGTGCCATAAGGTCCTGGCTCTGCTCTCGGACTGGCCGAGTTAAACTTGTGTAAATTATGTTTCAAGCTCCCCTTGAGAAAGTGAAGCCGAAATTTGCTTATGTGCCGGCCAAACGTACGGCCGGTTGCTCAACTTCCAACCGCTTCGCACCATACGGCACAACCCAACCACACAGGCAGCCCAGGGAAAATTGGAGGTCCAGCCACGTGGCTGGATCCCTGAAGACTCCAGGCTTCGGGCATCTTCCTCTTCCACGGGAACGCTGCTCCCGGGGCTGCGGGCTCGTCCCTCCAGCCTGAGCTCCCTCTGCCGGCCCCGGCCCCGCAGCGCCCGCCCGGGGGCATGCATCCCACCTGGAGGCATGCATCCCACCCGGGGACATGCATCCCACCTGGAGGCATGCATCCCACCCGGGGACATGCATCCCACCCGGGGACATGCTGCCCCCGCCTCCGGGGCAGGACCAGGCAGGGCAGCGGTGTGTCCTTCCCCCCCGGAGCATCCCACCTCCCAGGCAACTGCCCTAAGGGCATCTTCGGTGGATGCTTGTTGAATTTGTGACTTGGGAGTAGAAGGAATCCAGGTCTGGGAGAGAGGAGAGGTTTATCCCAGACCAGCCAAAAAAATTGGTCTAGTTGCGGTAGGCTCTGGAAGAGCCGGTAAGCAAAAAAGCCAAGCTTTGAGTAACTGGTCTGATTCAAGCACAGCAGGGGGTTGAGCCAGGCTCAGAGCCCGATAGCAAAGTGTCCTAAACTTCCTGCTCTTGCTGCTCAGAATTGCTCTGGTTTTTTTTTCTGGAAATTCATGTGGGAAAATTTCCCAATTTCCTAGGTAACGTGTCGCTAGAACTGCCACGTCCTTTTGCATCATGAGAAGCTCCTGTTCCAGCAGATTGAACTTTCCTGAGGAAAACCTGCTGCACACGCACATGCAGCTCCCCGCTAGCTCTTAAAGGAAGCCAAGATGCTCAGGTAGATTGCATTTGCCCTAGAAATGCAGGCAGTCTCAGGAAAAGGCATTCTACTTCCAATGGCAACAAGCAGAAAAAATCCAAACCCATTAAGCACCTAATTTTGTCTGGGGATCCCTGCTCCTCAGTGTGGGAGGTGCTTTTGCAGAGCCTCACAGAAGTCTGGCATCGGTCTGTGCAAGAGGTATCTGCTTGCCAGGGGGTTTGACTGTGAGCTCCTCGCGGGAGGAACTCTGTGTTGCTACGTATTTGTGCTCCACCTACCAGAATTTTTGATAATATTGCGAAGGCTTCTTGCTTTTCTTCCAAGGGAGCTCTTTCACTGTGGTGTAGTCACTCAGGGGGTGCGGGGAAAGTCTCGTTGTGCTTCAGCCCTGCTGTCGGCGCAGTCCTTTTATTGCCACGGGTTTCTTGGCAAAGGTTTCATGGGTTTCGGCTGCTGAACCCCGGGCTGCACAGGTGTGAGGCGCCCTCTGCTTCACAGAGAGGTGGGAAAGGGCTGCTGCCCACTGTTCAGAAGAGAGGAGGAGAGAAAAGGTGGCACAGCAACCACTTCTTTGTCCTGTAGCAAGTGATTTTTCTTCCCATTTTCGCATTGTCAGGGCCAGAGCCAGAACTGACAATTGATTATTAGGTTTAGAACCCTTCTTCTTTTTTCTTTTTTTTTTTGTCTTTTGGGGAAGGAGAAGGAAAGGGAAAATTTCGGACAGGACAGATTCATTGACATCTCAAGAGATGCTGAGCTAAATCTTGAGGATTTTACTAGGTTTCCTCTTGGGTAAGGGATCCTTCTAGTGGGAAGAGGAATTGTGCTAAACAAGGACTATTGGATTCGACCCTATGGAGATAATTTACAAACCTTCCCAGTGGGCTCAGAGACTAGCAACCTTCAAGCATTCCTTAGAGGTTCAAATTCATGTTGGGGCTTTTTTTGTCTCCCCTGACAGTTTATCTTTTTTTTTTTACTTCTTTTTTTTTAATTTATTTTAAAAAAACTCTTTACAGTGTCCTTTCCCCAGCCAGGGGTCTTTCCTACAGCTGATTCCTAATGTTTTACAGGATGACTTGCACATCCTGCCTTTGCAGCAGACTAATACCCGGGTTTGAATTACTATTGAATAAGCAGCAATGAAATCTCTATCAAAATAATCAGTACTTCCAAAAACCACAAACAACAAAACAAGCGGAGTCGAACTAACTCAGCAAGACCCATTTGTAACATCAGGGACGGTGAGTCACTTTTCTTTTTCCCTCCCTCAGCAGACTCCATCGCTGCCTCTCGCAGCCCCGGGGAGGGCAGGTGGAGTGGGTAGGGCATGACTTCAGAAAGTTAAAAAAAAAAAAAAAGACATCACTCAGGTCATGTGACGCAAAGGGACCAATGGAGGCAGGTTCTGGAAAGGGGAACAGTTAAATTTGTAATTTTGGTTGTGTGAAACACTTCTTTGGGCCTCATAAACAACCACAGAACCACAAGTTGGGTACAGAGGCAGTCACACAAGAGCGGGTCCGGGATATTGGTCAGCAGGCAGGGCGAATCGTTTTGACTGCAAACCACAGAGTTTCGTAGAGTGGTAAGCATCATCAACCACAACCGATCCGCTATTTTTTTTTTTCTTTTTAAGAAACAATTTTGGAGTTCTTTTAGCAAAAGAACCTTATAATCCGCTTTGTGCTGCTCCTGAGGCACCGGGATAAAACACAGCGTGATGGCTGGGAGGAGGGTGGTAGCAATGACCATGCTTCATTTTTCACTCCCCAAGGTAGAAGAAATCATATATTCCTTCACTGTAAAGAGAGAGTGAGTTTTAAAGAGGAAACAATGGCTTCAAACAGCATATTTGAGTCACTTCCTTCTTACCAGCACTTCTTGAGAGGTAAGTGCCATTCAGACTTTCTAAATATACTTTTTACTTTCCCATACTTAAGAAAATGCATGTCTAGAGAGTATCTGGGGACATTCTTGTAGTACATGCTTTTTCCCACTTCAGTTTCCTTTGAGGTGCTCTCATCGAAGCTAATATCTGAGCCTGCAGGAATACCATCTCGTTACTTATCAGTCCGTTAAAGAGATTATAACAAGGACTCATTTAAGCTGTTCAAACAGCCATTGCATGCTTGTGAATTTTCTCTTCATAAATCAAAGTGGGCTAGAATAACTCACACGGACTACTGCAGATACAAGAGCAGTAGCACAAGCCCCTTTTGATTCTTTTTGGCAGAACTGTGACTTTTTGAGCCGCTGCCATGAAAAATGACAGCCAACAGCGTCCGACACCTATTACAGGCTGAGGCACGGGGAGTGAGCTGGTGCATGCAGCCAGCAGAGCGTGATGCTGTCTCACTTACGCTAGAGCATCAGCCTAGGTGAAGGCATGCTCCCCGGGCAGAAGTCAGAAAAAGCTTAGAAACCTGCTTAAAGTTAGCTGCAACTCACGCGGCTCAGGAAAAGAAGCGGTGTGGATAAACTGAGAGTTTCTGTGGATGCCACGCAGGTCTCGGGTGACTGCGAGTTACCGGCTTCAGCCACCCTCAGAGGAATGAAGCCGTCCTGTAAAGGCTGAGGGGGGGGAACTAAAGGACTTCACCCAGCAATCTGTCTTTTTTTGACCACTGACCAAGCGCACTCAGAGGTTCCTTGTAATGTTCTCACAACCCCCCGTGGAGCTAATGGTTTAGTCATGGGTTATTCATACGAGTAAAGCCAGGGACTGGGCACAAGAAACTTGTCCGCTTCCTCGTAATGACCTTCCTAAATAGCTCATGCTACAGCTGAACTTTTCCCCTTTGCAAGCAAAGCCCTCTGACTGCTCAAGCCCTTTCCGCGGCAGGGCTGTGCCCCTGCAGATGACAAGGCGCACCGAGCTCCTCGGCCGCCGGCGCTGCCAGAGAGCAGCACTTCATAACTCTTTATAGCTACAGACGACATGTTTCCCGGCCTCGCTGGCGGTGTCGGTGTGAGTCATGAGTTATTCGTATTAATAAGCGGGGCTGGGGAATGCGGAAGGCTCGTCCCAGCTGCTGTGTCACCACCACCAGCAGCGGCTCGGCCGGCAGCCTGCCTCCTCCCGCACACCGGTGGGATGCAGGCAGAGGGCGGCCTGGCCCAAACGCCAGCCCGCTCTCCCACCTCGCTTCAGCTCCTTTTTCCGTGTGTCGGGTCGTCGTCTCCACCGCCACCACCTTCCCTGTGCCTCTCCTGGTGGCAGAGGAGAGCTGAGTGGCAGCGCCGGGGCTGGGGAGATGCTGAAGGGTGAGCACCAAAGCAGCGAACTGCTCTGCGGCATTCGCAGCTGACATTTCCTCAGCACCCCTACCAAGCAAAGGAAGCAATACTGCTAGAACAACAAGAAGGATCTTCCTGCATTTCGTCAGCCTTTTTCTTTTTTTTTTAATTTTTGTTTCTTTTTCTTTTTCTTTTTTTTTTTTTTTTTTTATTCTCTTCAACCTGCAGTATTCATTACAAATCATAAAACTTGTTTTATAATTAGTTGGGAG